CATACATTGATATGGTTTCTCTCCTGTGTGAGTCCTATTTTGGGAGGAAAGATGACTACTCTTCCTAAAACCCTTCCCATGCTCCATGCCTCAATATGGCTTCTCTCTTGTGGGAAGTAAGATGACGGTTGTGAGTAAATGTCTTCCCACACATTCATTTATAAGGTCTTTCTCCTGTGTGATTCCTTCGATGGATTATAAAAGAACTCCATGAATTCATATGGTTTTTTCTCCTGTATGGATCCTTTTATGGGACCTGAGAATACAACTCTTTCTAAAGCCCTCTCCACACTGCAAACATTTACATGACTTCTATGTGGCTCCTTTTGTGGTAAGTAAGACCATTGCTACGAGCAAATCTCTTACCACACACTATGCATTGATATGGTTTCTCTCCTGTATGGATCCTTTTATGAGTGATAAGAGCAGAATTCCATATGAAGCCCCTTCCACATTCCACACATTTATATGGCTTTTCTCCTGTGTGCCTGCTCTTGTGGGCATTAAGATCACTTCTATAATTAAAGCTCTTTCCACACTCCATGCATTGATACGGCTTCTCTCCTGTGTGGATCCTTTTATGGTTGGTAAGACCAGATTTCCACCTGAAGGTCTGTCCACATTCCACACATACATATGGCTTCTCTCCAGTGTGGCTCCTCTTGTGGGCATTAAGACTACTGCTGCAAGTAAAGGTCTTTCCACACTCCATGCATTTATATGGTTTCTCTCCTGTGTGGATCCTCTTATGGATAGTAAGATTACTACTCTTCGTGAAACCCTTTCCACACTCCATGCATTTATAAGGTCTTTCTTCTGTGTGATTCTTTTGATGGATTATAAGTGACTCAGAAGAACAGAAGATCTTTTCACACTCATCACTTTTTGGTTGCTTCTGTTCTACACATTTCCTTTTCCCCACTTTCAGATGGATCGCTTGGCATTCCTCCTTGCAATTCTTATTCTCTTGCCCATTAAAGCCTTGAAAAAGGAAAATGAGAACTGTAGCAAGAATAGGGGAACAGTCAAAACTTTTCTTCTGAAATTTAGCCAAAGAATCATCAATATATTTCAGCTGTTTTGTGGGCAAACATGAAAAGTCCAAACTAAGATTATAACAAAGACCCAATTCCAACTGTATCCCTAATGATCTTCCTATAATAGGATTGGATCACAACTCTGATCTAACCTTTGACCTGGGACAATTCCATGGTGCCACAAACTCCCAAAGTGTATTGGACAGTGTATCATGCTAGGTCAGCAACGTACTCAGCACTTCCTAACTTCAATCAAAGTCTCGGCTCCACTTGTCCGCAGAGCAGAATCTTTGAAAGTCAAAGGGAATTTTTGGATGGCAATTGCTCCCCACCCTCAACTTAGGCTAATGTCAAACTCGGTACACAAGTGGGCATATCTCTAGGAAGAGAACAAACCTCTCAGAGGTCATCTGGACTTGGTGATAGCAGCTCAGGGTTATCAGGAACCCAGTGACCAGGTTCAGGAGGGAATAGCGAATCCTGGTAGCCAGAACCTTCCTCAGTACATTCAGCCTCTTCCTCACAGTCTTCCTAATATCTTCTTTATGAAGTGAGTATTTTGCATTTCATGAGCAGAAAGTTATTTTAAAAAACAACAATTTCCTTTATGCAAAAAGCCAGACTATGCAGTTTTTCAGTTTTGTTTCAATAAATTTCCTTCTTCCATAACGTCAGTTTGGTCAAAAGGTTAAGACACCAGGATAGAAAGTAATAAATTTACAGACATTTCTAAAATTTTGTTTTCCCTTTGTCATTATTGGGTACTCAGTGTAGATTAATGAGAAAAAAATCATTTCCATCAACTGTAGAATCAAGCCGCAGCATAATAAAATTGACAAAAGTGAAGGGAATCTGAACGTCAACTCATAAAACATTTTCTATGCCCGTTTTATAGTTGCCAACAGAAAGGGGGGGGGGAGGAAGGAGTTTGAAAGAGCAGTGCAGCAGTTTGGAAGCGAAAGCACATTCCATGCATACCTTGCAAAGATTATACTAAAAGACTGGAGTTTCTGCCGCATAAAACTCCAATTGGAGAACATGATTGATGACACTTGGCTATGGATGTGTTTCGTTGGAGAATATTATGATACACCCAGAGAGGTGGAGGAAAACCAGTCTCAAGGATGATGGTGAATTACGTGTCTCAAAATCGGCTACATCCAGGTCATGCCAATATGTCGCTCATAATGAATTCTTCGAAGCTTTTTGAAGTTCGGCTCAAGGCTCATGATTTAATTAAGATGATCATTGGAATCCTGACACTGAATACCTTCTGAATGCACTGTATATCCTTCCTTTATTTTTTGCAAATAATAAAGGCAGCAGACAAACCCAATATTCCTTCCTCCTGCTATTTTC